ACTGTTCGTTGGCGATTTTTGAGTGAGACTGAATTGAAGTTCTAGTTTGCAATTGACCGTGAGTGGAATATTTGGAATGATCACATGTGCTATGAGTGTTTAAATGGCATTCAATACCTCTTTGTTTTCCGCGTGTTTTTTGATCAGCTCATACGGTGCTTTGTTCTGATTGGCCAAATTATTTAGAATGACGTTGTCAATCAGTTCGAGATCGTTATTGAAAGCATTAATTGATGCAACTACAAATTCCTCATCATACTCACTAGGGGGTATTGCCAACCCAGCCGGATTTTGGGACATGTAGTCAATAAGTCCCATTTTATTCCCCGCCAAGTGTTTGATATCAAAATGAAATGGAATTAATCTATCAATCGATCGTGTGAGTCGACTCTGACTTGTTTTTGATCTTTCGCTTGCGTTTAATGCACTGATTAAAGCTTGATGATCGGTAATGACTGTAGAAATTTTTCCATAAAGTTAGTGTTTGAAGTGTTTGATTGCCCAAACTACTCTCAATAATTCTAGTTCAATTACCGATTATTTTTCCTCGAGGGAATTTAAAAAACGTGATGCGTACGCTACGGCTATCCAACCTTCTGGTGAATTTTGTTCTAGTGCAGCTCCTAATCCGGTGTTTGATGCGTCGCAAACAATGCGAGTCCCTAGTTTTTGGTCAAAGTGTTTGTTCTGAGTAATTTCAGCTACTAATTTTAGTATGTTTTGAAAGCTGTGTTGTGTTCTGATGACCAGTCAAGTGATTTTTTCTTCACTGTGTTTTTTAGCAATGGACGAAGCGCTGCAGCTGTTTGTGCTAGATTTGGTATATATCTTGTGAGATGATGTATTGACCCCATAAAATTTTTTAATTGTTTAAATGTTTTTGGTGGTGACAGTTTTTCTTTTGCTTCGGTTTTCTTAATTAGTGGGGTTGTGCCTTCACTGTTAATTTTAAATCCTAGCCACTCAATCTCTTTGCAAGCGAACACACATGTCTCAAGTGAAATCGCTAGATTTTCTTCATTAAGTTGTCCAATTTCTGTCGATTTAACTCTTTGGTTCCCTTAGTGACTACCAGTATATCATCTAGATATGCATATGTATTCGTACAATTCGTCAATGTTAAGTCGACAGCTTTTTGAAATTCAGCTGGCATATCCATGAGGCCGTAAAATCCCGTTTGGAATTGATACGTTCCTGTTGCGTTGCTGACGACCAAACTGAAATTGCATTTTTCACGTGTTTTTCGATCCAGCGGGACTTTAGAGTATGCGTATCTCAAATCAAGTTTAGAGAATGGTGTTGGCTTTGTTTTTTCTGATTTGACTACCTGCGCAATGTTATCCAATAGTAGATTAATATTGGGCATCTGATGCTTGTTTTTATGGATAAATTTATTGATTTTCTTCGAGTCCAGCGCAAGTTTAACTGTTTGATCTTTTTTCACTGTAATTACAATTGGGCTTATAAATTATTTGTCTGAACATTTATCCAATTCGATAATATGTTTTTGTTCAATCAGTTTATTTAATTCTCCTACCACTTGTTCCTGAAGGTAAATCGGAATGCGTCTACCCTTCTGTTGAACTGGTTCAAATTCTTCAATGAAGTGTGTTTTCATAGTGTGATTTTTAGATTTTCCGATACGTACGCACAATTGTGCGTAATTGTTTTTGACCCATTGTTTTGTCACTGGGTCCGACTCTTCTTGTTCTCGTATAGCAAGTACCTTTTCTGTTTTCTGTTCTTGAATCAATTTGATGCCGATCTGCGGAAGTAGATTCCTTCCGATGATGTTTGCTTTTTTGTCATCTAATACGATGAATGGGGCGGCTCTGATTTGCCATCCCCTGACGTGATTGTAATGATCAATCTTCCTTTCGGAACAATTGTTTCGCCATTATAGCAAGCTAAAGTGCGTGCTGTGTCTCCCGATGGGATGGTTTTAAACAGTGCAGATTTATCCTGTTGTTGGAGGCGCCTTGCGGTTTTTTCGTTTAGAAAAGACATTGGGGTGCCCGAATCAGCAATAGCGAACAATTGTTCGGAATTGGTTTTTAGTTTCGTAATATGTCCGTTTAGATCATCTTCGACCATTGTTCTTGTATTCTTAATCTCAAATGATTCCTCGATTGCCATTACCGAAAAGTTGTCTATTTGATAATTATCCCAATCATTGCTGGAAGAAAATTCTGCAAACGCCACTGGGTCGTTTTCTGTTTCCAAGCTTTCGGTGTCAAGCTCATCTTGTTGGTCGATTTGAGTATCTTCAAGATAGTTGACTTGTGTTGATCGGCATACTTTGGCAAAGTGCCCCCGTTTGGCGCATTTTGCACAAATTTTATCTTTAGCGGGACATGTCTGTAAATGATTCTGGTTACACCGGTTGCCGCCTTTATAGCACTGTTTGTGGTTTCCTGTGTTTGTAGCCCTTGGTTGTCCTCTGTTATTTTGTGATCCCCGGTGAAACGGTCTGCCTCGGGCGCCTCGCCCTCTTTGTGTGTTCTGATTGTTAGAGTAGTTCGCGCGTCCTCGGGTGTTAATGTAATTAACCGGTTCTTGCTTTGTTGTAATTTGATTTCCTTTGAAAGGGTTGGTTTTCATAGTTCTACTATGTTCGATACATTTTTCCCGGCGGATTGCATATTCATATGCATCTTGTGGTGTTCTGGTCTGTGCCAATAGTTCCTCTGCTATTTTTTTGTTGGGAACGAACGCATTCTTCCTCACGGTCTCCACAATCTGCCCGCGATGCCAATTCCACGAGATCCGAATGGAATTGTTATAAACTTTCATTCTTTTTCTGTTTTTGACAAATGAAATTGTATCTTTCGAAAGCGATGATTCGAGTTGTGATAAAAATATCTTCGAGGGTTGTCATCATTTCTTGGGTAGAAACGGTGTGCAACTCCTGATTAGGCCGTTTCTGTTACACTTGTCTTTGTCCTTCCGCTCCTAAGCATAAAAATACGTAGCTGCGTTCTTTTGCGTCTGCTTCGTCCCATCTGAATGAGCTACAAAGTACACCTTTTTCTCTCGCTTTGATTACATGGTTTTCCCAACCTACTCTTTTCTCCTGATTTCTGACTTCTCTGTTCTTTCTTTGTGCTTCAGTCTCTCCTGTGATTTCAAGTTCGAACACCGGCTCTGCTGGTTCGACTAACATTGGTCGGGCTCTTAAAAAATTTCGTATTTCTGTGCCATCTTTCGCGAATATTGCCATTTCCATTATCGCCGGCCACTTGGACCATTCTAGAGGTGGTTCGGCCGATGCCTTCTCCCAAAAGGGATTTATGTTGAGTGGGCTTTTGGAATATCCTGATGGCTGCGCCATGTCATACCTTAATGTATGAACGTTTGATTCCTGAATCCGAATGGATCGACAAACAGATAAGCTAACGCGGAGCGAGATAAAACGACCAATTTAAGCAAAGATTTATTCTTTCTCTGACCGTTCATTTGGTCTATGTTCGAGATGAGATCTCTCAAGGTCGATTGACCGACTAACTGTATTTTTATGGCATGTAACATCATAAACATATGTAACAACATAAATCATAAATGTCAAGGTATATATATCTGAGTTTTGTCGGTCCATGCCGGATGACAGTTTTCTAGAATAATCCAGAAGTTTGTATCAGCCAATTGAGATGCGAAAGGAAGCGATTGAAATTTTTCGATGATCGAAAACTATTTGCGAATAAATTTGGATCAAAGTTAGATTTTGAGCACAGATATGAGAAAACTGTGTTAGCATGGCGGAATGATTTGATTTAGGCAGTTTTAGAGTTTTCTAAACAACATACGTCGTTTTTTATATTGCAGATTTTTTTAAATATTTTTTATCGATGCTATCTTTTTAATGTTGTAAATTACTTCAATAATAGGTTTCAATTGAATATTGGTGGACAAGGCTGAACATTGATCAGAAAGAGGTTGAATAGACTGGGCCGATGTTTTTTCAAAATGTGAAAAATGTGTAGAAATCTGAATTAGTTTTTGTTTGAGTAAATACTGGTTGTCCAATCACAAATCAGGTTTTTAATGTCAAGCCGTATAATTTATGCATTTCATTAATGTAATTTTCTTTTCGAATGAATGTTTAAAATTTAACGTACAGTAAAAATTTTGGCTCTTTTTCCTTTTCCCCCGCCTTGCATCAACATCAATTTTATGGTGTGAAGAGGATTTTTACAAGTTTATTTATCAGGCCCGGATTTTCTCGAGGGGGGGGGGGGGCGGAATTTCAAAAACATTTTGAAAATTTTGTCGACTTTTTTTTTCTAGGATGACCAAATTCGATAAATATTTCTGCACCTCAGGCAAATTTCTGAAAAAAAGGTCAAAAAAGGCGTTTTTAGGCACTTTTTGGAAAATTTCGACCAAAAAATTGCGTTCGCAGAGGGTTCGGCAGAGGGTCGAATCCCTGAGGGGAAAGAGCGTCCTCCCCCCTAAATCCGCTACTGTTATTTATGAAGACCAAGTATATTTGGTTTGTTATGGCCTAATTAGTTTGCATGTCAATTTGCATAACAATCGGTTGGTGGGAAAAGTATTTTTAGTTGTAAAAAGTTGCAGGTGGGGTAAAGGAAAAATGGCCAAAATTTTGATCAGTTCTTTAATCATATAATTTTTCCTTCATGTGTAACTTCCTTCTGAGCAAAAAAAATGTTGTTGGCGCAGTTCTATTGTCTAAATTCACAAAGAGTCATCGTCCAATTTCTGAAGGTTACGGTCGTCCAATTTCCTAGGCCCCGCTAAATTTGCTTGTGGGAAGGGCAACCAGTAGAAGATCCTAGAGCCTAATTATCTCGTGCTAAAATTATTTACAATCCGCAAATGCGAATAAACAGTTTACTAATAAAAATTTAACAGTCGAGGGGTGTTTTTGTTTTATATTTTTTAAGCTTTTTTACTACTAACCAATCATACGAATCATATAAATAACTAATATTTAGACTTATCACAGTAAATTCTTTTTTTTACAACCAATATTTGTTCAGACTATGATGAGTGTGCTGATGAGAATATGTGTGGGGGTGTTGAAATGGGAACATGTATTAACACTGAGCCAAACTATACATGTGAGTGCAAGGAGGGGACAGAGTTGCAGATAGTCTCAGCAGTTGAACAGACTTGTGCAGGTATGAGAAACAGGATTTGAACTTTTGCCGTATCAGCATTTAGTTTTTTGTCTTTTGTGAAACATAAATTTCAGAATGGATTTTAGAAAATGTCTAATTATTTCGCAGGATTTATTTGAAAAAGAAATGAAGTCATCCATTCGCTGGATAGGTCTGGATCAGTATTTTCGCGAATGTGCGGCTTAAATATATGAAGTATTGGCACCAAATCTTCCTTAGAGAACATTCAGATTCACGCAGCTTTTATGTTAAGGGTCTTGAATGCTTACCTCTCAGAATACTCTGCTGATTTTGATTTTCATAAATGTAATCATGAATCCATTTTTTTTAAATTGAAATCTTGCTAGAATCTTGCAATGATTGTCTTATCAATAGAGAAGTTGTCTTTGAAGTAAAAAGAAACTTTTTATTATACAGACCCAGAAAAATGATTCAACAGAAGCTCTATAAACCTCTGTTTTAAGTTTTTCACATTTATCTTTGCATGTTTTGCAAGATTATAGCAATATTTGTGCAAGCATCTTGTATGATTCAAACTGTATTACAAAACATTTGAAACCAATCAAAGTGTTTCAAGAAGACAAATTTTCAGATTTTTAATATTCTCAACTCTCTAAACTACTCATTGCTTTTGAGAACTTTGTTTTAATCGTTAGAAAGGTCATTAGTTTTTCATTGGATTTAATGTTAGTGTTATCTGTTCTGTTATGAAAGTACAATACGAAAAAACTTCGGCCGTTTAAACCCCACCCTTTTTGCATATTTTTTTTGGTTTCCCAAATTTTATTTACGCTTATTTATCCACATGGCAACTATGATGCTTTTTAGACCTCGACGAGTGTGAAGAGTCCAACCCCTGTGGAAGTCACGGAACATGTAGCAACACTGTCTTTCCATACAGCTGCACCTGTGAAGACAGATACGAAGTCACTCTTCGACACAATGAATATGGAACAGCTTGCACAAGTAGTTTCATTTTATCAAAAAACAGGCGACTCTAAACAAAAAGGGGCTCTTTTTCTCTTTGATTTACCCATCTTCTCTAAAGATGGAATTTGTGCGTCAAAACAATCGGCGTTCATGGTAACACGGGTTTAACTGTTTAACTGGGCATCAATGGTGGGCGATATACAGCAAAATAGTTGTTAAATATTTTGGGTGGGTCAAGTTAAAATTACTTACGACCAATAGCAGGTTTTCCCTTCATACTCAGTAGGGCAGCTCTTCTAACTTGTTATCTCGCTAAGAACAAAAATGAATTTTCCGCCAAAAGACTTAAGAATATTTTGAAAACTACAACTTGGGTTTACAATTTGGTAATTACATTTACCGCAAACTACAGCTTTCAAGAGATCCCACTGAAACTTTGCAACCTACCAATTCTCGCGGTAAGAAAAGCATTTTTGGCAAAAATTCTTCAAAGGCCATCAAATTTTTCAGCGCAGTTTTGTGAAATAAAATTATCAACAAAAAGATGGAAAATTTAACTCAGAACAATTAGTTTTTGCTGTAAGATAACTCTGATTTCTGAATTTTAACGTTTTTTTTATGAAACATCAGCACAAAAAATAAACTGAAAACCCAACATTCAAAATATTTTTACTATTTTCAAATTTGTTGATGGGCGAGTATGTAAAAAAAGTCAATGTACAATCTATAGAAAGCAGAGTTAAAATTGATACAGAAAAAAAGAGTTTTTGGGTAATGACTCTATAAGGATAATATACAGTAAAAAAACTTCTGCAGAACAAAATACATTGAAATTGTTTTTTTAAAACAGTACAATCGAAAATCTACTATATTAAATAAATTACACTAGATCTGAAATCTGTAAATACCACTGCGGGATACAAAACTCTGATTAAAGAGCGAAGTTATTGGCACTGAGCTTTTGGCGCTGTTTTTTGCGATACAAATTTATTTACCTACTCGTTTTTTTTTAAATTTCCGTTGTCATAAAGTTCCGAGCTTTAAAAAACTCAAATTTTTTGATATTGCTTGGGTTCTTCAAATTTTTTGACGTTTCATTTATTTTTTGGTCTTTTTTAATGAACGTAAAGTAAAGTAGACCAATCATATTTCAATGTAATAAGAAATTAGAGCTTCCAAGCACAAAATCAATCAACAAAACTGAAAATAGATTTTGATAACATTTGAATTTGTGTGTTTCTATCCCGAGTAGTTACTATGTTTTGATACATTAGAAACAAATTAATCAAAAGGATTTGATATTTTTACTGGTTTCTTTTTGCAATAAATGTTTCAGATTCGAAAACGATTTTGCTGATTCGAAATAAACATCCCTCTGCTAGAAATGAAAATGATCACTAATACAGTTTTTAATTGTATAGATTTTGGCATTATACATCGCAATTGCAAGATCAATGCATGAAGAAGTATACGCCGTCTCGCGATAAACCCAATTTCATTATGTCAATAACATAGCTTTTCAAAAAAGTATGGCTTGTTTAAAAAGAGTCTGATCTATTTGAGTGAGGTAATTCATCAATATTGAAGTCACCACGAATAACTTTTAGCTGTTTCATCTTTCAAAGGTTTCCTATAAAAAAACATCAAAATTGTCCGAAAATTCTGGAAACCTGCAAGAATGATGACTATTTTTTGATGACTAACTTACTTACGACCAATAGCAGGTTTTCTCTTCATACTCAGTAGGGCAGCTCTTCCAACTTGTTATCTCGCCAAGAACAAAAATGAGTTTTCCGCCAAAAGACTTAAGAATATTTTGAAAACTGACAAATTGAGTTTACAATTTGGTAATTACATTTACCGCAAACTACAGCTTTCAAGAGATCCCACTAAAACTTTGCAACCTACCAATTCTCGCTGTAAGAAAAGCATTTTTAGGCAAAAATTCTTCAAAGGCCATCAAATTTTTCAGCGCAGTTTTGTGAAATAAAATTATCAACAAAAAGATGGAAAATTTAACTCAGAACAATTAGTTTTTGCTGTAAGATAACTCTGATTTCTGAAAATTAACGTTTTTTTTGGATGGAACATCAGCACAAAAATTAAACTGAAAACCCTACATTCAAAATGTTCTTACTATTTTCATATTTGTTGATGGGCGAGTATGTAGAAAAAGTCAATGTACAGTCTTTAGAAAGCAGAGTTAAAATTGATACAGAAAAAAAGAGTTTTTTTTGGTAATGACTCTATAATGATAATTTACAGTAAAAAACTTCTGCAAAACAAAATACGTTGAAATTGTATTTTTAAAACAGTACAATCGAAAATCTACTATATTAAATAAATTGCAACAGATCTGAAATCTGTAAATACCACTGCGGGATACAAAACTCTGATTGAAGAGCCAAGTTATTTACTGTAAATCTTTTGGCGCTGTTTTTTGCTATAAAAACTTGTTTATCTACTCGTTTTTATTTTTAAATTTCCGTTGTCATAAAGTTCTGAGCTTTACAAAACTCAATTTTTTTGATATTGCTTGGGTTCTTCGAATTTTTTGACGTTTCAATTTTTTTTGTTGTTTTTTAATGAACGTAAAGTAAAGTAGACCAATCATATTTCAATGTAATAAAAAATTAGAGCTTTCAAGCACAAAATCAATCAGCAAAACTGAAAATTGATATTGTTAATATTTGAATTTGTGTGTTTCTATCCAGAGTAGTTACTATGTTTTGATACATTAGAAATAAACTAATCAAAAGGATTTGATTTTTTTACTCGTTTCTTTTTGCAATAAATGTTTCAGATTCGAAAACGATTTTGCTGATTCGAAATAAACATCCCTTTGCTAGAAATGAAAATGATCACTAATACAGTTTTTAATTGTATAGATTTTGGCATTTTACATCGCAATTGCAAGATAAATGCATGACGAAGTATACGCCGTCTCGCGATAAACCCAAATTCATTATGTCAATATCATAGCTTTTCAAAAGAGTATGGCTTGTTTAAAAAGAGTCTGACCTATTTGAGTGAGGCAATTCATCAATATTGAAGTCACAACGAATAATTTTTAGCTGTTTCATCATTTAAAGGTTTCCTATAATAAAACATCAAAATTGTCCGAAAATTCTGGAAACCTGCAAGAATGATGACTAATTTTTGACGATCAATAGCATGTTTTCTCTTCATACTCAGTAGGGCAGCTCTTCTAACTTGTTATCTCGCCAAGAACAAAAATGAATTTTCCGCCAAAAGACTTAAGAATATTTTGAAAACTGACAACTTGAGTTTACAATTTGGTAATTACATTTACTGCAAACTACAGCTTTCAAGAGATCCCACTAAAACTTTGCAGCCTACCAATTCTCGCTGTAAGAAAAGCATTTTTGGCAAAAATTCTTCAAAGGCCATCAAATTTTTCAGCGCAGTTTTGTGAAATAAAATTATCAACAAAAAGATGGAAAATTTAACTCAGAACAATTAGTTTTTGCTGTAAGATTAGCTCTGATTTCTGAATTTTACTGATAACCCTACATTCAAAATATTTTTACTATTTTCATATTTGTTGATGGGCGAGTATGAAGAAAAAGTCAACTTACAGTCTATAGAAAGCAGAGTTAAAATTGATACAGAAAAAAAAGAGTTTTTTTGGTAATGACTCTATAATGATAATTTACTGTAAAAAACTTCTGCAAAACAAAATACAATGAAATTGTTTTTTAAAACAATACAATCGAAAATCTACTATATTAAATAAATTGCAACAGATCTGAAATCTGTAAATACCACTGCGGGATACAAAACTCTGATTGAAGAGCGAAGTTGTTGGCACTGAGCTTTTGGCGCTGTTTTTTGCGATACAAATTTATTTATCTACTCGTTTTTTTTTAAATTTCCGTTGTCACAAAGTTTCGAGCTTTACAAAACTCAAATTTTTTGATATTGCTTGGGTTCTTCGAATTTTTAGACGTTTCAATTTTTTTGTTCTTTTTTAATGAACGTAAAGTAAAGTAGACCAATCATACTTCAATGTAATAAGAAATTAGAGCTTCCAAGCGCAAAATCAATCAACAAAACTGAAAAATAGATTTTGATAATATTTGAATTTGTGTGTTTCTATCCCGAGTAGTTACTATAATTTGATACATTAGAAATAAACTAATCAAAAGGATTTGATTGTTTTACTGGTTTCTTATTGCAATAAATGTTTCAGATTCGAAAACGATTTTGCTGATTCGAAATAAACATCCCTCTGCTAAAAATGAAAATGATCACTAATACAGTTTTTAATTGTATAGATTTTGGCATAATACATCGCAATTGCAAGATAAATGCATGACGAAGTATACGCCGTCTCGCGATAAACCCAAATTCATTATGTCAACATCATAGCTTTTCAAAAGAGTATGGCTTGTTTAAAAAGAGTCTGACCTATTTGAGTGAGGTAATTCATCAATATTGAAGTCACCACGAATAATTTTTAGCTGTTTCATCTTTTAAAAGTTTCCTATAATAAAACATCAAAACTGTCCGAAAATTCTGGAAACTCAAATTCATTATGTCAATATCATAGCTTTTCAAAAGAGTATGGCTTGTATAAAAAGAGTCTGACCTATTTGAGTGAGGTAATTCATCAATATTGAAGTCACCACGAATAATTTTTAGCTGTTTCATCTTTTAAAAGTTTCCTATAATAAAACATCAAAATTGTCCGAAAATTCTGGAAACCTGCAAGAATGATGACTAACTTTTGACGACCAATAGCAGGTTTTCTCTTCGTACTCAGTAGGGCAGCTCTTCTAACTTGTTATCTCGCCAAGAACAAAAATGAATTTTCCGCCAAAAGACTTAAGAATATTTTGAAAACTGACAACTTGAGTTTAAAATTTGGTAATTACATTTACCGCAAACTACAGCTTTCAAGAGATCCGACTAAAACTTTGCAACCTACCAATTCTTGCTGTAAGAAAAGCATTTTTGGCAAAAATTCTTCAAAGGCCATCAAATTTTTCAGCGCAGTTTTGTGAAATAAAATT